AAAGGATAAGTTACAGATAGATATCCCAAAAACAAGCTCGGGAAAGAATCTCCAAACAATTTTTGATACAGTTCCCTTAACAAGCGATCTTTGCAATTATCATCAATGGCATAAGTCGTTGGTTCACTTTTATGAGCCCAAGCGGAACATACGTTACAAAAATCAAAGACTTACCATAGCAAAAAGCACCATGAACGTCATGTATGTAATTTTCTTTATCAATCAAGGTCTTGCTATTCAAATTGCCGTAACAAAGGGTAAATCTGTAAATGCAGAGTTTACAAAGGCAATGTCTTTCATAAAATTAAGAATCGTTGACCAGCAACTGGTCTCTTGGTTTCAGGTTGTTGCATTACAATGTTTCGTTATACAAAGCGGCTATGTTAGAAGAGTATATGAAATAGGAAAATGCTGTCAAGCTTTCTCACCCTCCTTATTCGCCCGATCTTGCGCCTTGTGACTCTTTCTAATTTATGAGGCTCCAAAAACACCTTGCTGGAAGAAATATTAAACGCGAAAAACAAATATCGGTTCGGCTATTTTTCAGTGTTTGAACAATATACCTCAAAAAGATTATGTAAACACATTCAAATTTGGATAAAAAACTAAAACTTTGTGTAACACATGTTGGTGAATTTGAAGAATTGAGATAATAATTTTGGCACTTCTGAAAATTGATCCAGTTGCATTCATATTTGAACAACCCTCGTAGAACTTCGACAAACATTTGATTTGAGATAAAGGCACAAAATGGCCTTCAGAGGTAAAAATAATAATCTTGTCCGGCTTTCGCAGTCGAATTTCATAAAACAAATCTTTTCAGGAATTATCAGGTCAAGGTCACTTGTGCCAACAAAAGATAACTTACCCATGAAAAAGCCTTTATTTTTTACCAATGTCTCATTTTAACAAGGACCATACCTTAAGGTGATCCTTTAAGTTTGGATAGAGTTTAAGGTCCTGAGATCATGGTCCAGGTCTTGCATTCACATATATATTTGATAAAATTTGTGAGTTGAATATTTTTCAAATTCATCACAAATCATAACAATTACAAAATGTCATTACTCTGTCAAGTAAAATAATAGTGTTTACAATTTTTTGGCAGTTTTTCTGTCAATTACAGAGTGAATGGGTAAAACTTTTTGAAAAATTGTTACTGACAAGAATCTGAGTCGGGAGCATTTTTAATAACAAACACATTATTGATAGTACTGATTTTCGTTAATAGAAAATAGAATAAAGCAATGACCATTTACAAACACTAGTATTTAACTATATTAGTACAAGTATCAACAATTTTTAAAAAAAGTTAGACAAAGGGTAAGTTTAACGTTTGAAATTTTGAAAGATAGTATCAATATTTTGTAGAAAATGTCCTTGAAGAAGAACTTTTTAATAATTAAATATCCTTTATGTTGTGATCAAAGTGGTTAACTACACTAAGTGAAATTATATATATGTACATAATGCAAATGAAACAATTTTTTACAAACATCGAAGAAAATGTAAAATATTTACTGCAAATATAATTATGTAATCATTGAAATATATACATTCATTTCTTATTGTAAAATTTGAAAAAAAAAGTTTTATTACCTCCCTTTATTTACATGAATGTGAAATGTTAAATTCGGTAATATCTTTAAAAACAATGCTTTTTGGAACCTACAATGTTGATGAATCTTAATTTGAGCATCATATTTATGATTTACAACCTTAAAATTATTGTGTTACAGGATCTTTGACATTCTTAACATTCTTAACAATTTTGAAGAGACAAAGATACGAAAGGCCCAGTTTTGCGCATATATTTAAAACACATATTTAAAACATACAAATTACATAGAAGTGTACTGACAAAGAAATTATTTAACACCTCAAAAACCTTCGTCTGAACCTGAATATCACATTTTAAAGTTCTTACAAAAAAAAATATAAAAGAATTTTAAAGTTTCCCTACCAAAAATATAACCGAAAATTTTCAAACTAGTTTGCAGCAATGCGTCTACAATCTTTATTACTTGCTTTTATTACAAGGTGAAAAGTTCTACTGTTTTTAAGGATTATAAAATTGCACAACATTTCTTTAATATATGTTGAATACGTATTAAGATATGTTTAGTTATGATGACTTGATGTGTTTGCTAGTTTGTCTGTATCGGCGTAGGCATAACACTGTTTACTCTCTTGTTTTTATATATTGAACTACTGTTACGAATTCGCTATTCTGAAATCAAGTATCAGGAACCCCTTCTTAAGCATTTAATTTTTGTTTAAAAGTTTTACGTAAATACTATCAAGACAGACAATCGTTATAAAACAAACATTTTAATAAAAACATAGAGGATATTCAAGTTTTTTCTATAAATACATGATTTATTTTCATCGAGTGGTATGAAAATAAATATTTCATGAGTGGCGGTAGCCACGAGTGAAATATGGTAATTTTCATGCCAAAAGATGAAAATAAATAATGTATTTATAGAAAAAACTTAAATTTTCTGTTTATTATATACATTTTTCTCTTTTTTGACATTAAAATTTAAAAGACTTTCCCCTAAATTTTGTGTACTGGCAGAGCTTAATAGAAAGTAGTCCGGCAAGACACCAGTGAAAATACGGAAAATATGTTTCACTGCAGTGAAAAATAAATTTTTACAGTGAAAATACGGAAAATGAAAATACACATTTTATTTCATCAATATTTCTCAATATTTCATTTATAAGTATATAATAAATGTGTTTATTAAATGAAGTTGTGTAATAACCGAGAGTTCTTATTAAGACGGCAGACTTGACTAATCTCAGTGATGGACTGTAAAACGAGAGGTTGGATAATACAGGAATTCCAAATTGTTTTGAAAGTCTGTTTTGTAAGTTTCGATAATAATAATAATAATAATAATAATAATAATAATAATAATAATAATAATAATAAAATTAATACAAGCCTATCCTTAAAAAGATATTTTTTCTACATTATATGTAAATAATATTTTCTCTATTTTATATGCTTAATTTACATCATTCAGATCTTGATCTGTACATTAATTAAAATATACCATACACATGCTTTTTTGTAGCCAAGGAAATCATAAAAATACATTCTTCGAACGGTAAGAAATATGTTTTACTCAGAGAGAAACAGGGAGAAAACCTGATGTATAACAAAAGATGTATTCTTAAATGTTTACCTGGTACTCAGAAACAAGAGGGCCATGATGGCCCTAGATCGCTCACCTGAATTATCAAACTCATCCAAACAATTACCTAGACAAGCATTCTGACCAAGTCTCATGACAGGTGAGTCAAAAATGTGACCACTACAGTGTTAACAAGGATTATCCATATTTGAGCAGTGCGACCTAGTTTTTTACCCAGGTGACACATATTCAAACTTGACCTAGAAATCATCAAAACAAACTTTCAGACCAATTTCCAGGATACTTGGATCAAAATAGTAGCAACTAGAGTGTTAACAAGATTTTTCTATTTTTAGCTCCGGTGACCTAGTTTCACATGCGATTTCGAACTCATCCAAGCAATTACCTAGACAAACATCCTGACCAAGTTTGATGATAATTGAGTCGAAAATGTGACCACTAGAATGTTAACAAGGTTTTTCCATATTTGGGCGGTGTGACCTAGTTTTTCATCCAAGATGACCCATGTTCGATCTTGACTTAGAAATCATCAAAACAAACTTTCAGACCAATTAACAGAATATTTGGATCACAACAGTAGCCACTAGAGTGTTAACAAGATTTTTTCTATTTTTAGCTCCTGTGACCTAGTTTTTCATCCGAAATGTCCCATGTTCGATTTATTCCCAGCAATGACCTAGACAAGTTTCCTGACCAAGTTTGATGACAATTGAGTCAAAATTGTGACCACTAGAGTGTTAACAAGGTTTTTCTATTTTTAGCTCCTGTGACCTAGTTTTTCATCCGAGATGACCCATGTTCGAACTCATCCGAGCTATCACCTAGACAAGCATCTTGATCAAGTTTGATGATGATTGATGCAAAAATGTGACCGCTAAAGTGTTAACAAGGTTTTTCTATTTTTAGCTCTGGTGACCTACTTTTTCATCCGAGATGACCCATGTTCGAACTCATCCAAGCTATCAACTAGATAAGCATCCTGACCAAGTTTGATGATGATTGATGCAAAAATGTGACCACTAGAGTGTTCACAAGGTTTTTCTATTTATAGCTCCGGTGACCTAGTTTTTCATCCGAGATGACCCATATTCGAATTCATCCGAGCTATTATCTAAACAAGCATCCTGACAAAGTTTGATGATGATTGGGTCAAAAATGTGACCACTAGAGTGTTCACAAGGTTTTTCTATTTTTAGCTCCTGTGACCTAGTTTTTCATCAGAGATGACCCATGTTCGAACTCATCCAAGCAATTGACTAGACAAGCATTCTGACCAAGTTTGATGATGATTGGTTCAAAAATGTGACCACTAGAGTGTTCACAAGGTTTTTCTATTTATAGCTCCTGTGACCTACTTTTTCATCCGAGATGACCCATGTTCGAACTCATCCAAGCTATCACCTAGACAAACATCCTGACCAAGTTTGATGATGATTGGGTCAAAAATGTGACCTCTAGAGTGTTCACAAGGTTTTTCTATTTTTAGCTCTTGTGACCTAGTTTTTCATCCGAGATGACCCATGTTCGAACTCATCCGAGCTTTCAACTAGATAAGCATCCTGACCAAGTTTGATGATGATTGAGGCAAAAATGCGACCGCTAGAGTGTTCACAAGCAATTGTGGACGGCCGGACGGACGACGGACGACGGACGACGGACGACGGACATTCACCGATCCTAAAAGCTCACCCTGAGCAAGCTCAGGTGAGCTAAAAAAACTTGCAAGTAACTTTGGGACTTGAAATCATAACTTGAATGATATATAACAAGAAATACTCGCGTTAATTCATATTCAAAACACACATCCTGCATTAATATGTTCATTTGTTTCAGGAAGACGATGGATCTTTTACTGACATTGACATTGATAGGTAAAGTACACATACCTAAGATATTCATGTGAAAAACTTCTTGATCGTGTGGTTGAATACTCAGTTTATTTTGTATGAAAAGCAAAAAGAACCAATTATTTGAAAGAAACAATATTTTCTCTTTAATGTGCAAATTGCATTTATCATACATAATTGTCCTTTAATATTGCCATTATTATAAGAATGAATACGAGGGTTTGTTGAATATTTTATCAAATTTATTCACTTTTATTTTAACAAACTTACTTTTCATATATCTTTTTTAAGTTATATGTGGACAGACGCATCTGGTAATCTCTTATTCAACTCCAACAGCAAACGCGAACTTGAAAGAAAATAATCCTACAACATTATTAGTAAAATACATGCCTTCAATGGCAAACCTATCATCGCATGCGCAAAAACCACCAAAAAATGACACATCAGCAATGCCAAGCCCATCTTCACAGGTGCAAAAACCACCAACAAGTAACACACTACCAACCACAAACCCATTTTCGCAGACGCAAAATCTACCAACGAATGTCACACTACCAAAGGAAAACCAATCGTCGCACGCGCAAAACCAACCAATAAATGACACATCATCAACGGCAAAACAAACTTCAATGGCAAAAAAGCCACCGACAAATGACACAGCAACAACGGCAACACAATCTTTACAGATACAAACACCACCGACAAAAGTCACTCAAAAATCATCAAAACCAACTTCACAGACAAAAAATCTACAAACAAATAGCACTAAAACAACATCAAAATCAACAAATGTCACTCAAACAACTACGAAACCACCTTCACAAACGCTTAAACCACGAACAAATGACACACCAACACCGGAGAAACCACCATCGGAGACGCAAAAGCCACCAACAAATGACACACCAACAACGGCAAAATCATCTTTTCAGACACAAACATCACTTACCACTGTTTCTCAAACAACTGCAAAACCAGCTTCACAGACGCGTACCCCACAAACAACTGTCACACAAACAAAAGCGAAACCATCTTCACAGAAGCAAAATGCATCAACAAAAGACACTCAAAAAACATCAAAACCAATTTCACAGACGCTAAATCCAAAACAAATTTTACAATCACAAAAGCCACCAACAGTTGACACATCAACAACGGAAAAAGCATCTTTGCTGACGAATAAGCCACACGGAAATGACACACCATCAATGGCAAAACGAACGTCACAGATGCAAATGCCAACAATAAAAGACACAGCACCAATGACAAAAACAACTTCACAGACACAGGAAACACAAACAAATGACACAACACCAAAGACAAAACCAACTTCACAGACACAGAAAACACAAACAAATGACACAGCACCAACGGTAAAACAAACTTCACAGACGCAAAAGCCACCGACCGTCGACACTGAAACAACAGAAAAACCATCTTGGCATACGCAAAAGTCACCAACAAATGAAACATTACCAACGGATGAACCAAATCCACCGACAAAATTTCCACAAACGAAAGACACAACACCAACAGGAAAACCAACTTTGCAGTCACCAAAGCCATTAACAAGTAACAAGCCAACAATGACCAAACCATCTTCGCAGACGCAAACGTCACCGACAAATGACACGCGACTACCAACGAGAAAAGAAACATCACAGACGCAAAAACCACAAACAAATGCAAAACCTAAAACGACAAAACAAACTTCATACACGCAAAAGCCACCGACAAATGACACGACAACAGCAAAATCAACTTCACAGACGCAGAAGCCACCAACAAAGACCACAAAAACAATGGCAGAACCATCTTTGCAGACGCAAAAGTCACAAAAAAATGACACACCACCAACGACAAAACCAACTTTACAGACGCATAAACCACAATCAAATGACACAGCACCAACAGCAAAACCAACTTTGCAGACGCGAAAGCCACCAAGAAATGAAACAATCCCAATGGGTAATTAAAAAGTTCATATATTTTACTTTAAGCTCTTAATTGCTAATTCTTTTCATTTTTTTCAATTATACATTGAAGAACAGAAGTTTAACCAAATTATATACATGTACATCGGTTCTTATTCCTGCACTGGCTTTTGCAGTTAGTTAAGAATGAAGATGCATCTTTATTACGATATTTTCTACAATATATCCTTTATAATTTCGAAAATATATTTCAGTTAATGTTACAAGCATAAGCTGTACTGAAAATGGCAAAGAATGTCATCATATTGTCAATGCTCGGTGTAATAATCAGTTCAGAAAGTGCGAATGTTCATATGGCTACATTGTGGATGCTGCCACATGCAATGCAGGTAATTAATTATTTAATTAATATAAATGAATAAAGATTGCTGCAAGCTTTTTTGAAATTGTGTTTATATATATTTTTTAATGTGGTGTTTATTTTCACCTTACATTACATTTGAATTTATTTAAAAGTATTATTGCTTAAACTCTTGAAAAATTAAAACTTTATTTTATATTTTGATAGTAACCGCTGCAAAGAAGCTTCCGACGGCTCTTCCTGCACTTGGTAAGTGTAATCATTTATTGATTTATATTATTTTAAAATCATGAAAATAACCAATCAGGAGACACAGAAACGCGACAGTTCTTTGTGAAACGAGAACGTCCCTGCCCTCGATATTAAATTAAACACACATAACAGAGAAAACATTAAAATGACTATTTAAAAAATGTCTGAACCTGCAACAAGTGCGCTCGACATGTAACTCAAGGGCATACAATGCCTTTGAATACTTAACGACTTTAAATTTATACAATCTAAGAGCAACAACTTTTATTTAATATGTGGTTTTAATAAATTTAAATGACACAGGGGATTTCAAAAGAGTGTTTCTAATATGGGGAGTTCGTATACTGTATTTATGTTACATGCTTTACTTCTGTAGGCAACTAGAAAATATTAAACTGTTTCCGGAACAAGGTGTATGTCATGTTTAAGCATTCTAAGGTATTCATTCCAATAGAAGTGAATCGAGATTTTTCCAGTAATCCAATGAATTAAATATGCAATCATATAAATGAAAAGATAAGGAAATATTAAAGGAAAAACTAGTTTGAAAATATAACAACTCTGATTAACATAACCACTGAAAACAATTGCAGACTCGGTTTAATTGAACCTATTCGTGAATAGCTGGCTGTAACAAGTGAAGGCTTCTATACACTTTCCACTGGCATCGGCTTGATCAGAGTTCAACATTATACAGGACAATGCTGAATTTAATTTTTAAAACATCCACAGATTGTTCATTCAGCCTGGATCAATCCTGGAATCAGTTAGCACTGTCGTTCCTTGAAAATAGAGTTTTGTCCTTTTGATTTAAGAATGATAATGTCTTTAACGAGTACTGAAACCACAAAAAGGGATAGAATTGATAGAACTACAAATTCTACAAAACACAACAGTAATGTTTTGCTGAAAGATCTTCAATTATTGAAAATATTAAATGTGCATATCGACATTTCACAATCTGCACATCGCACAAACAGCGCTGATTACAAGGTTTAAAGCTCACCTTTTCCCCAAATTCAAGAACGTGGGGATTCATCGGGATCAGTGAAGGAGCAAACAATGCACACCTTGTTTTTTATTAAGAATGTTCATGAACTGAGGTGGACATGTTTTCCTCTTATTCTTAACAAAAATATTTTTGAAGTTGACAATTGAATACAGCTGTTGTTTAATCTCTGTAACAGTTCTATATGATTTACAGAACAGGTCGGAATAGAAGTTCATTGTTGTACGGCTTAAACGTGCATACTTACCAGCAAGCACTGTTACGACCATACTTAATTTTTTTGATTCATACATCTACATGTAACATAATTTGCAAGATCTGCTTGCAGTCGATTGAAAGATGCCCTTTAGAATAAACTGGAGGTGAAATTTATTGTAAGGAGTTTAAGGAAAACCTGATGTCTTTGATTTGTGTGTTCCTGATAGATACGTATGCTTGCATCGATGTAAGAACTACAATACACAAATGAGAAGACTATCTTACATGTGCGAGTATATTGTACTTCTTATGATATATATATTTTATGATGATTCGGATTGCGTATGATAATTGTTATATGTCAGGGTTTCAGGATGTATTTAATTAATTAAAGCACAAACACAAATGACCCTTTGCAATATAGTTTGAATCAGACAAGGAATTTGAAGTTGTCAGCTATGTACTATTCGGTAAGGCAGTACAACGATGCTTTTAGAAACAAATCTAGACACAACGATATATTTTAGGGTCTGTGGTTTTCTATCTTTGGGCAGCTTATTAAACCCAACATACAACGAAGACGGAATATACTCAACATCACTAATTCCGCGTCATTACTTATTTCACGGTAATGGCATATTTTCATGTGCCCAGTGTTATAATTGGTCAGAATTGACACATTTTATTCAAACACCTGCACAGCAAAGTGTTTGTGCAAAATATTTCAAATCTATAGATTTTTAAACTTTTGCAAAAAACAACAAATAGTCCTTTAAATTTGTGCATACATCTGAAACAATCATCATTTTCTAAATGATTTTTTTTTCGTTGAAAAAATAAATTTTGAGGTATAAAGTAAAGATACTTTTAATATTTAAAATTATGCAAAATAACATGTAGAAATTTGACTGAAACATGAAAAAAAAACTGAAATTAAACACCATTACTGCGATTTAAATGATGACATACTGTTTTCAAAATGGCTGACATATGATCTACGTTTGGCTCATTTAAACTGATTTTGACTAAATATATTGTTGTTTCCTTGTGTTATACAGCAGAAAATACATATATTTATATTTTGTACCCTATGTTTTATTTGCTGTTTTCTTTCTTGCTTCAAAATATTAAGTGGTGCCGTGAACTAAGAGGAGTACAGTATACTTGCTAAGAATTAAATTATTGAGGAGTACATATTGATAAATTTATGGCAAATCCTTTCCTCAAACTTATCCGTATATATCATGAAGACGAAATACTGAGGTACCTTAAATTTTCATGCATTACTAAAGCTGGAAAGTCGCCATAAATAGATATATGACTAAATTCATAAAATTAAATGAAGAAAACAACATATTTGGGTATTGGGTAATTAATTTGCATTTTAAGCTGACTTAAAAAAAATAGAGGTATTGTTACAGCAATATCGGCATTGCCTTTGCCGTCTGCAAACTTGTACTTTGACCATAACTTTTTAAGTTCTTGTGGTATTGTCTTTATCCTTGGTTACTGAAACCTTTGGGACAGTACCTTTCAGAAGACCAGACTAACCTTGACCTTCATCCAAAAATTACCTTGTCCGTCAATATCAAATGTCTATTTTTTATTGTTTCTTGTTATTTTTGGCTATAACTTTGTTATTTTAGAGTGGATTGTCTTCACACTTAAACAGAACATTCTTTAGGATAAGACCTTCATGTATATCAAACTTAAATTGACCTTGGCTCTTTTATGACCTTGACAATTTTGTTTTCTTTTGAAATATGCTCATAATTATATTAAAGAATATTGATCACACACACATGCGCAATCTGGGTAGGCCAAAAAAATGCATCGCCCTACATAGAAATAAAGTTCATACACAATCCGAGTTAGTTCAAGGTAAATGGTAGAATATTATATAAAATAGCTTTTAACAAATAAAGAAAAGATGACTTTATAGCGTTGTGGCACTGAGATCATTTTTGCGACGGACGCGCCCTCAGGCGCGTTCAGAGCTATGTCATCTACACATGGGATTTCGTTGGCTACAATCGCGCAATGTGTCCTCAACCGAATAACAGCCAACGAAATAGTACATCAATTTGATCTTATAAAACTCCCATACTTCGTCGGGTTATCTTAAAAACTTCCATATTTAGCCTTTTCGATTTCAAATTATGTTATCCAATTTAAAATATAAACGTATTTGATTGATAAAAACGCTGTATCCCTGTAGTATTAATGCGCAATTGTGCAAATAACTGCTGAAACGATTTACCGCTGTCGAAAAGGTAGGACCGAAAAGTATGCTATTAATTAAGGAGTAAGCTCAATAATTCATAGAAATTATAAGCAGGAAATAAATATTTCCCCATTAAACAAAACATTTTTATTAACAGATCAAAAGTTTTTCGTGACTTTAGAATAACTCGCGCATTAATAAAAGAAGAACTCTTTTCGTGATTCATACCGCGGATTTTTTTTGTTAATAAAAAAGACTACAGTACAATGGTTAGTATTATAAATATCTATTTTTGAAAATGCATGTAAGAAGGGAGTTTTTCAACACTTTACCACCATGAAGCCTTTCATGGTAATCTTTATTGAAGGAAGTTATAATGTCAGTTCTACTTCCGATTCTTGTGTTTGGTTTACATAGTTTTCTAGGTCACGATATGAGTTAACCTGCTATGAGATTATAATAACCTTCGACCAAAAGATAACACTATTCTAAAAATAGATTTTGCATCATCTGTGCTGACTTTCGGACGAGTACACATTATACATGTAATAAACCTGCGGATACTTACTTTGTTTACATGCAATACTTTAAGAAATTCTATACAATTGTAAGAAGCAAACAAGTTGAAAATGGAATTTAGTATGAAATTGAAAGGGACAACTAAACACTGTAATGCTTAAGTGACGTAAATGAAAAAAAAAAACTAAAACAATACACCATTAATTGCTGATGATTTTAACCAAAAATATTTTTAATGAGACATATCCAAGACAAATAAAAATAAAAATACAAATGACTCATATTTTATTTTCTATATGCCCACTATGATTTAACACACGAAGCAATTCTAATTAACATTCTCACATGTATTATGATTATAGTTTATTTGCATTGTTTTATTTTAGAAATATTTCGTTGACAGTTTTTTTTCTATTTACATATCTTTTCTTGGAATAAATCGAGAAGGACACTGATTAACAAGTTTGACCAAAGTTTTTAGGCATAAATTTCATTCTGTATTTAAAAATTTGGACTTGTTCTGCTTGAAAGTAGAAAATCTGAATGATATCGGATTGGGACACATGAAATATATTGCTCTATAAATCTCGAACTTGTACGGAACACATTTTCTCTGTTGTATCTTTTGTGTTGTTTTTTTTTCTAAAAAAAGCTTTAATGTCTCTCCGGTTGCATGACTGTCCGTCGCATTCAATGCTGCAGCACTTTGATGTTAAAGAGATGTGGAAATATCTCTATTAGCAAATTAAAAGTCAACTTATTTGTTGTTGAAATAGTTCATATAAAAACAAAATAATTTTATAACATGAAATTGGATTTATTATCATTCAGAAAAAATATCAAAACAGGTGATAATGCATTTTTAGTGTGCAATATACCTGATTATATACTTTATCCGATTTGCCTGTGTACAAACAGAAAAAAATAATGTCACATAAATAGATTTTAAATAATAATTTTTTTTTTAAAATCTTGAGACGTTAAGAAATGCAACATTCGTTGCTATGGAAAATCGTATTTTAAAAGGTCTATTATGTGGACTTTCAACCCATTTTGCGACTTTGGACGGGGACAAAGGTAAGTTAAGTGATGATATTTAGTCATTTTGAATTAGTTTGATATAAATTTTATAGAAAAACAAATACTCCGATAATTTCTCTAGTTACTGAAAACATAAAAATTTTGAGATATAGATTTGAAATGTAATTAGGAGGTAAAATTCGTATCTTTGCTCACAAAAAAAAAAAATTAAAAACAATTTAAATGAACCTTGTGAAACTAATTCTCAAAGTGATAGTGAAAAAGACGAATATACCCAACACCCATTTTTCAATAAAAAAGAATCGTCATTCACCCCCACCGCTGGAAGAGATGTTTACTTGGACTTTTACATTAATGCTATTACGGAAGAAATATTGCAATCCAGTATCATTAATAAACACAAACGTTATAGTAATATAACCAAGTCTGAAATGGAGTCGCTACGTAAACTGTCACAAGATAAAAGTATAATTATAAAGAAAGCGGACAAATCGAACACTATCGTTATTATGAATACTGACGATTACCGACGGGAAGTTTTACGTCAACTCGAAAACAACAGCTACTATGAAAAATGAACGGAAGATCCTACAGAAATTATTAAATGTAACATATCGGAATGCATTGATAAGATTAAAGAAACAAACGACTGTATTTCAGATGAATTTGATGTATTTCCAACGAACATACGTACACCGTGTTTTTATATCTTACCTAAAACACACAAATCTCCAGACTTCACACTGCCATTAAAGTATCCGGGTAGACCTATTGTGTCAGGATGTAACTCACCGACAGAAAATATTTCAAAGTATCTCGACTTTATACTTAAACCACATATGCTTAGATTGCCATCATATGTAAAAGACACCACAGATTTCATCAACAAATTACGTAATATTAAACTACAAAGCAAAACACATATTTGGTAACACTAGATGTCTCTTCACTTTATACTAATATACCACATACGGATGGAACTGATGCGTGTTTGTATTATTTAAGACAAGGAAATAATAACAGCAGACTTTCGTCAGATGAAATTGTTAAACTTTTGAAACTTATTCTTGAAAATAACTACTTCAAGTTCGGGGATGACTATTTTCTTCAGAAAATGGGTACCGCTATGGGAAGCCCAGTCGCCCCCGCGTACGCAGCACTTTTTATGGGGAAATTCGAAGAGGAGTTTTTGAAAGATAGTCAGCTTAAACCGTCATTGTGGCTTCGTTTTCTAGACGATATTTTTATGCTTTGGGATCATTCTCTTGAAGAACTTAACACATTTATTGACAAAATCAACAATGTTCACCCAAGCATTAAATTCACCCACACCATATCTCAACAATCTGTTTCGTTTCTTGATGTTCAAGTATCAAAAGGAAAATCGTACGAACTTCAAACTAATGTTTATGTAAAGGAAACTAACAACCACCAATATCTTGATTATACATCCTGTCATCCAAAACGGTGTAAAGACGGAATACCCCACAGTCAGGCTAAGCGTTACAGGAGAATTATATCCGACGCCGACGTGTTCTCTACTTCACTGAGCAAACTACGAGAATTCTTCATAAGTAGAAATTTCCCTGAGACGGTTATAGATTCAGCGTTTCTTCACGTGTCACAGATGTCACAAGAGGATGCCTTACGGCCACAAGATAAAGAAAAGAAAAACGTTCTTCCATTTATTGTGACATATAATCCGTCCTTACCTAATATTGGAAATACTATTCATAAATATTGGGACCTACTAAATCTGTCAAAAAACGAAGGTGTTAAAAATATTCACAATAACTACACACCCATAATTGCCTATAAACGTCCAAGAAACTTACAAGACTTTTTAGTTAGATCTAGATTTGATACTGACAGTGACTTTACATCACATTCTGGAGGTTGTTGTAGAAAACGCTGTTCTCATTGTGTTCGTATTAATAGTGGTACGTCATTTTACAGTTCAAATACAGGAGAGATATTTGACTTACGTCAACATACTAACTGTCAAACAAGAATTGTATATATTTGATAACATGTAAAAAATGTAGCATGCAGTATGTTGGTCAAACCAAACAACCTGTGTCTAAACGAATGAATAGCCATAAATTTGATATATGCAATTTTGTAGATCCTGCATTCTCCACTAATGTTGCAAATCATTTTAATAAGGACGATCATAATTTTACCGACTTTTCATTTATGCCCATAGATGTTGTTTACAATACTTTAGATCGTTTGTGCAAAGAAACATTTTGGATTCATAAGCTAAAAACTCATTTTCCAGAAGGAATGAATACAAAGTTGTTATACTCAATTAAATAATTCATAAAATATCAATCCACGCTACAAATGCTAGAATTACGCCAAATAGATATTCGTTTTTTCCTATTATCATTTTTTATAATTAAACCCTATAGGAAATATTCGTATTTATTAATCCGATATCTTTGTGTCGTTTTTATATTTTGATGCTTTGTTTGGTGCACTTATCTCTTTTATCATGAATTGGAATTGTTCGTATTTGTTCGTTTTTCCGCTAAAGTGGGCGTGACGTTAATTGTAAAATTACGACGTCACGTCCGTTGATATTATTTAAGAAATAATATATCCCAAACAGTGATTTTATCGCTCAATAACATCACTGTTTGGAGTTCGGATGCGAGGAATTATATCACGAGGGCGTAGCCCGAGTGATATAATTATGCGCATCCGAACGACATACAGTGATGTTATCAAGCGATAAAATCACTGATTTGGATATATTATTTCGATTCTAACAAGACACCAACAAATAAATGTTGCCGTACTTGATAGTTAAGCAAAATTGCGCCTGATTTGTTTCCGTACTTATTTTCAGCGCGTCGGATTTTTAGTGGTTATGTCACGTGTATTATGATTACGTCACATGTCTAAATATAGAACGTCAAACTGTGCATCTGTTGCATAATAACACACACTTTCATTTCTTCTATGTTCAATAGGGAAAAATGCGGGTCGTGTTAGAATATTATTTATTTACCTTGAAAAAGGCATACATTTGCCGAAACGTTGGAAAAATAAAAAATGATATTATACGTGTTATTGCTGTGACTTTATTATTTTAATATCTTTGCTCACGTGATAAATGAGCTTGGATCAGTCCAATTTAATGTTTTTGTGAATATACTTCATTAAAAGAAAAAGTTGCATCGCGTGAAATGTGATAACGATGATTATGTTTATGTTGTAAATGTTCAATCAACAATAGAATCTCAGATGACAGCGCATTTTGAGAATAAATGCACATGTCAGTGTACCGAGTATTGCGTTGGACGTGCTCGCCGGAATTTATTGCTTTATTGCTTTTAGTGTAACGAGTATTGGTCATTAATATCGAGTAAATGCGAAGAGTAAACACAGAGTATTTACCACATTCAATCTTTAATATTTCTTATTGTGTATACGTATTGACAATATATGTGCAGAATATGCAGAGTTTGGAGGTATTTCACTGGAAACATCTGCGAATAATCAGGGCAGTGAGATTTCATTCCTGCTCATAAATAAAACTCAGTGAAACAAAGTTCTCATTGCTCTCAAATGATCAACCTTTACAGAATTTATTAATAAATATTATAAATCATATATAAAAAATGGTAACAAAATTGCATTACATTTAAAGTGCATTATGCTGCCCCAGAATTGTCCATATTAGACGGTATTGCCTGTAGTGTGCCAATGTGTCATATCAAACCACTTATAAGATTATGATATTAAAGGGCAGCAAATGCAATAAAAAGGTTATGTTCCTAAAGACGATATCGACATACTTGGACGGCAAATATATTTATCCTAAGTGTGTCGATATGTTTCTTAAGACACACTTGCCCTGTAAAAACGTATAATTAATGTCATATAAATATGTGTTTTTCTTCTTTTTAGAGATGGATCACCTGGATCACAGTTTCTTGATACATGTATTTAAAGATTTTTATCGTCAATGATGATGGTTCTTTCCTTCTCCCAACCCTGATAAGCACACACTTCAACGCCATCCGCATTAACACGCTTAAACTTTTTTTTCATCCATACTGTGTGATTATCAATCAAACGGGAAATTAAATCTCTATATGTGTCCGTAGAAAAAGAACAGTAATAACAATCTGAATTATCATAATCAGTATAACACCAACAAAATAAAATGGCATCGATAAACAGACGTAATTTCGATTTTCTATTCTAATTTGCTCATTCTGTTTTGCAATACACTACACTAAAGTTGGGCTATTTTGCATAACTCTGTACAAGCATACTTGGATTATGATTTTAAAAAATGTTCGATTCATTTTTTTATCTTGGTCATATTAAAATTTCTAACGATTCTACAGAATCGCGGTCAGCTTTTTCTAGTGAGCAGCCGATCGTTTAGGTGGTAGTTTAATCAATTTTACAAGTACCTGTAATACTTTGATGTCTTTTAGAGCTACAAAAATACCTCTACATATATAAAACCCGTTGAGATAAATGAAATAGGCATTCGGTTGGAAAATATCGTCGCTGAACTTACCTTCGTCCCCCGTTTAATGTCGCGAAATGAGATGAAAGTCCTCACAATATCGAGCAATATCCGGGGTACGGTATACCGCAGTGCATGTGGTAATATCAGACGAATGCTGTAATGACATGTACGCATGTACAAAACTTTAGCAATTAACCTTCAACTTCCTTGCGCATTACTCGTTGCGTTTAATTTTAAACGCTGAAATATAGATGTCATATAGTTGATATTTCATTGTAACATATTATTCTAATCAAATCTATCACATAAATCTGTTTCAAATTTTGCAGAAACTAAAAAAGTCGGCCTTGATTTTGCCATTGAAGTGGGCAATGATTTAACAAAATTTGATGTGGATCTTACAGATCCTAATTCACCAAAATACAAGGAATTCAAACATTCTTTTGAGACAAAGGTAAGCGTTTCAAAATGTTTTACAAACTCCTACATTTTGTTTTCAAAGAAAATCATGCTTCTGGATTAATTAATTTTCATTGTGACATGTATAAGGTCTTATCGATGAAGCGATTCAACTTCAAGCCTTTCTGTAAAAAATGATATGATAGCTGTTCATCTTAACGTAAGATAACAAAGAAATATTTCCCTGTAAAACATGAAAAGCAGCTTAACATCGCATCCCTTCTTAATTAGTTTGGCAGTAAGATATTGTTTCATTTATGTTGGAGTACCCACTTTAGCTTTTCGTCAATAATTTCTTTAACCATTATCTTCGCTGAACCTGATTATGGACTAAGAACTTCACAAAATGATTCAATGGTGATCTATCAAAGTTCTTCAGAAACTGAATGCATCAGTAGGTCACAATGTCAAAAAGGGGTTTTTAAATATGGAAATTACAAAACGTATTTGCATTGGACAAAACCAAGTAATGTTGTTTGATCATCATCAAAAGATCCCCTTTATAATTGTTTTAATTTTGATCCGAACTTTGGGCAATAGTTATTAGCTCGACTATTCGATAAGAATAAGTAGCGTTTTACTAGTCATCCGAGCGCCGGCGCCGGTGTAACCACTTATGTTCAAGTTTTTGTACAACCTCAAATATTTTCAAAGTCCATTGACATATGGCTTTGAAACTTCGCACACTTGATCACAATCACGCGCCAAACCTGTAGACAGGGGGAGGTAACTTTTGTTACAATTAAAAGAAATATATGTCATTTTGTGAACTAAGAAAATTTTACATTATCAAGGCCCTTCACTATCAAGCACATAGAAGAGAGGAGCGTGCTGTCTTACTGACAGCTGTTGTATGCTTGAGTGAAAAAACTTTATATAATATTATTACTTTTTTAAACCCAAATGGCTAGAGCTTGAAATATTGTATGATAGACACCTACCTAAAATGATCAAATTATAATCTTTTAGTCAACATTGACCCCGCCCAAGGAATCATGAGTGTCCCGTTAGTATATAAAGTAATTACACCTTTTCTCTCTGAAATCACATTAGCTTGAGGTATGATATTTGACATAACGTATCGTCCTATAAATCTTTACGAGAATTGTTCCTAAAAATGTGAATAAGCACTGACCTTTGATCAAGTTTTTGAGCGTTCAATTTATTTAAATTTATCTTTATTTTCTTATATTTTTTTTTGCAAAGCATTAAAAATTATCATTTTCATATACACATTAGATTAGAGTTTAGATATTTAACAAAAAAAAAAACATTCAGTTTTCTTTTTCCAACATCATTGTTCTGATGTCAAAATTGGAGCCGCCCTGGGGGTTAAGGACATATCCATTTTCCAATACTTGTATATTCTCAGTTTTATCAAATTTGATATAATTTACATCCTTGCTAAAACGTTGTTTTTTTCCAAAAATAAGATTATTTTTAGCCTTGCTGGTTATCTCCTTTTAAAAAAAAGGATAAACTAATTTAGAAAATAATCATCTGGGTCATTTTAGCCGTTTTCTCCCCACGAGCCCAAGAATTTTAAAATCATCCATGCATGTGACTTTCGTACAGTGTGAACGGAGAAAATACTAACTGCATCGATTGAGATACAAGTGAGGTATTTATGGAAGCCATCTAGCTATAAGCAAAGACATTTGAACATACTCGTAAATTCATATTATTGGAATGGTGAAGAAATGAATGTATAGCAAACAATATATTTTGTTACAATGTGATAATTATATATTCATAAAGACTTAAAAAATAAAAGTCTACCGTCAATATCCTGCTTAAATTTAAATACACATTAGTGAAGATTCATACATATTTTCAGTAATGAAATCCGTACTAGCTTCGGAGATAATTAGGCCTGATTTTCTTCTATGAATAACAATCTGTTTTGGCAAAACCGACATAATACTTAAACTAGGTTAACGACTGAGTATCGTTTTAAAGAAACTTCTTGTTTGTTATAAAATACCATGAAACGTTTTCTATTCCAGCTTATATCAGTTTTTAACGACACAAAAGGCTATTCTAGTATAGAAGTAACAGGCTTCAGGTAAAAATGTTCTTCATTTTTAGCCCGACTATTCGATAAGAATAAGTAGAGCTATTGTAGTCAGCCGAGCGTCGGCGTCGGCGTCGGCGTCGGCGTCTGATTCGGCGTCGGCGTAACCACTTATGTTAAAGTTTTTGTGATAGTTTAAATATTTTCAAAGTCCTTTGACATATGGCTTTGAAACTTTGCACATATGTATACCATCATGACCCCAACCTGTAGACAGGAGGAAGTAACTCTATCAATCATTTTGACAGAATTATGCCCCTTTTTCGACTTAGAATTTACGTTAAAGTTTTTGTAATGCCTCAAATATTTTCAAAGTCCATTGACGGACATATGGCTTTGAAACTTTGCACACTTGTTCACAATCATGACCCCAACATGTAGACAGGAGGAGGTAAGTCTATCAAGCATTTTGACAGAATTATGCCCCTTTTTCGTTTTAGAATTTACGTTTAAGTTTTTGTATTACCTCAAATATTTTCAAAGTCCATTGACATATGGCTTTGAAACTTTGCACACTTGTTCACCATCATGACTCCAACCTGTAGACAGGAGGGGGTTACTCTATCAAGCATTTTGACAGAATTATGCCCCTTTTTCGACTTAGAATTTACGTTAAAGTTTTTGTAATACCTCAAATATTTTCAAAATCCATTGACATATGGCTTTGAAACTTTGCACACTTGTTCACCATCATGACCCCAACCTGTAGACAGGGGGAGGTAACTCTTTCAAGCATTTTGGCAGAATTATGCCCCTTTTTCGACTTAGAATTTACGTTTAACTTTTTGTAACACCTCAAATATTTTCAAAGTCAATTGACATAAGGCTTTGAAACATGTTGAAATTTTATACTCTTCTTTGAAAGCATAATAGGACTCTCTCCAAGGCCTATAACCGTCAATATGGATTTAAAGGGATAAAAAATGCCTTTTTCTTTACTGAGAAAAATTTTACCTTTTAATCAAGCTTTTTTTACTTTCAAAGCACTAAGAATAGTCGAAGCGTTGCTGTCCTACCGACAGCTCTTGTTTAAGTATACTTATTTTTATTTCATATGAATTTTATGCATTTTGAAATATACATGTTTTTGTCTTTAATAGTACAGATTGTTCAAAGTCACAATAATGCTCATTCCTTCAATTGTCAACTTGAACCGCAAACGACTATATATTTCAAAAGATTGAATGTTTTGCCCCGCGGTCACGTATTCATGGATAATGCCACAGAAGAGCTACGGTCGAAATCGTTCAAAGGATTACTACGGAAATACGGTTCCAGTACGGACCCACAGCGGTATGAGTAACGGAGTTCGACGGATTTACCACCAATCCCCTGGAGAGACACGATTTGTTATGCACCGACACGGTTTGATACGGAGCAACACGAATCAGTACGGATGCACTACGGATACCTACGGTCTGCTAACGGTAATAAGCACGGGTTAGTTACGAATAAGTATGGTCCTGATACGGAGCAACAGATTTTAAAATCAAAAAGAGAAGCAGTATCGATTAACAATTTTTCGTAATGATTACTAGTTCCATATCTAATCAGGTAGGAGAAGAAACAGAACGAGATGGTAGACTACTGACGGGCCTTTTACGAAGAATTCCTTCATGGTTTAAAGTATGCAGGCCCTCTCAAATGGCCGAACTTGTTGAGGATCCGGTGTCCTTCACGAAATTGGGAACTTTAATCGGGTATTGATATGTAATCCGGGGGTCGGACGCGATTAGGCCGAATCCCTCTCCGCCAAAATCAATTGAAACTCTGCAAATTCGTTTTCCCTAGGTTGTTTTCGTTTCTTGTGAGGCATTTTGAAAATGAGCATGCAAGACAGGTTGCAGACGGATATAATAGGTCCGTATAGACCCGAGGCAATTCGTTCTTCTCCTTATCAATTTCGTTGTCTTCTCCTGTAATCCCAGAACCATACTTATTCCGTAACTAACACCGCCGTGCTAATACCGTAAGGCAGAACCGTAGTGTAATCCGTAGTGCATCCGTCCCTTGTTTCGGGTCGCTCCGTATCGGTTTCCGTAAACAGTCCGTGTCTACTTCCGGGGATTGGTGGTAAAACCGTCGGAACTCCGTACTCGTACCGCTGTGTGTCTGTACTTGGAACCGGTAGCGACGACAGAAATTTACCATTACAATTTCCGTTAGTAATCCGTGAACGATTAGACCGTAGCTCTATATCCGTGGCAAATTAAAATCCGTGAATATGTAATGAACGGGGCATTACTTATCGTTTATGGAATATGTTAAACTATAAAATTTTGAAAGGAATATAGAAAATTTAAAAACTTATTTTGATTTTTATAACATTTTTTTCTGTGTCGTTAGAGCCCAAATACTTTAATAAGTATATTTGCATAACTCCAAAAACAACCTTGAAAATAATTATGAAACGGGAAAAATAACACGCAGAAGTTAACATACATAAACTATTTTTTTTCATTATCATTGAACTTCGACCATGGCTTTAAAATTCGCTTGTAATCATTTTAATTTTGGTGAAAATTATCAATATATTGGCCCAAATTCAGCCTTGCCTTGAAATTTCTAGCTCAAAGTAGTACTGGATACTAAGCTTAGTAAAGAGTTCGAAATATTCTAATTTCTCTTAAACCATTGAATCTCCAAAACAAGGTCTGAGGTCAAACATTTAACATATTTAAACAAGTGGTGATATAAATTTAAAACTGAAAGTCCCATTGTAAAAGAAATATATTCCTGAACTCAACAACTGTAAATTCAATTCTTCTCAATATTTCGCGCGTTCAAAATAATTGTAATACCAATGCTTGTCCTGAACAAAAGGGGCTTTAAAAAGAAAATGAATATCGTCTCAAAACCATTTCGAATTAAAATGTTAAGAGGATATTTTTTTGTTTGAGTGAAATATGGAATATATTTTCACGAAACATGATATAAGAAGAGGATATTTTTTTCGTTTGAGTGAAATATGGAATATATATTTTCAAGAAACTTGAAAAAATGCCACATAATTTGACGAGCCGGGACGGCCATATTTCGATAAAAAAACGGAAAATAACCTTTTTTATTTAATTTCACTATCAAAGAAAAAAGGTTTCGAATCACACAACTGCAATTATACAGCGCTCAGTAATATATTAATTATTTATAGATTCGTGGCGCGGTTTAATACACATAAAAAGTCTGTGTGTTTATTTATTTCATTCTGTATATTTCAGCGAAATAAAAAAGTTAAATTAAATTGGTTTTGCTGCATTAACATAGCTGGTTTTTTGCACAACCCTGTTTTAGCGCTACATTATGCTGTCACGTAAACAACTTCTTTAAACGTCTGTACAGCGCGCATATTTTCATGGGTAATTAAAATAAAGCACCATATTTCATGGGAAATTAAATATAGCGCCATATTTTCATGGGGTAAAAATTAAATAAAGCATCACCAACCATTTTTTCACGGGTAAAAATTAAATAAAGCAACCAATATTTCATGGGTAATTTTAAATGAAGCACCATATGTCATGGGAAAATCAAAAAGAGCATCATATGTCATGGATAAATTAAAAAAAAGCACCATATGTCATGGGTAAAATTAAATAAAAACAACCATATTTTATGGGAAATTCAAATAAAGCATCCCAATATTTCATGGGTAAAATTAAATAAAGCACCATATTTTCACACGGGTAAAAAAATAAAAAAAGCAAACCAAATTATTTCATGGGTTTAATTAAATAAAGCAAATCATATTTCATGGGGATAAAATTAAAATAAAGCACGCAAATATGTCATAGGTAAAAAATTAAGTAAAGCAACCAATATTTTCCATGGGTAAAATAATAAATAAAACACGATATTCGTTTCATTTATATTGGGTTTTTTTAAATTAAAAATTTTGTTTTTGTTTTAAAAAATTGCTGTTGTTGTTTTTAAAAATGTCAATCTCACATTTGATTTAACATCGATATTAGCAGGTTGTTCGATTTTTTAAAAAATACATGTTCGAACCCCAGAGCTATCTATGAAGTAAGGCTTCTAGGTCTTCAGGTACCCGTTTATTATACTAATGAACATGAAGTGGGAACGCTGAACAACAATCGAGGCCAGGAATCTGACATACGCTCGTATTCATTCATTCGAACATGCCATAAAGTAAAAAATTAAAGCATGCCTTGATAAAACTAAGAATATAATCCTGTTTGAATAAGCCAAAAGGACGGCCCAAATAAAAAATCATATTACTAACCCCTAAAACTACCTAATAGTTTCCGACAGGTTAAAAAATTCCGGCACTAGGCCGCCATATTGCCAAAATGTTTTACCACGTGATTACGAAAAACATTTTGACCCCTTTAAAAACGAAAAACCCCCATTTTGGGGGGTTGGGGGGGTGCTTTCCAATATTTTTGTAAATTACTTTTCTTTAAAGATATTTGAAAAAAAGGTTCTGACTTTATATTCAATTTTAAAATCATATTTAAGTACCTTAAAAAATTAATGAAAATAAATAAAAACATTATCTTTTGAATAAAAATCGAAATCGTGTTCAACAAAACTGTTCTAAATATTAGTACTAG